ATGTGATCCCTTGGGGGACCAGCAAGGAGGAGAGGACAATGTCCTCAACAAATGGTGCTAGGGAAACAGAGTCCCCACGCCCAGAAGAGTTAAATGGGATTTTAAAAAATCTCACACTATGTCCACAAATCAACTTGAAACGGATTAAAGGGTTAAATAGAAGACCCCAAACTAGAAACTTCCCAGAGACAGCACAGGAGAAGATCAGCATCAGTCCAAGCAATGATTTTACAGGTGTAACTGTGAAAGCACAGGAAACGAAAGCAAAAATAGACAATTAAAGGGAATGTCATCAAACTTAGAAGGTTGTGCACAGCAAAGAAAACCATGAACAAAGTAAACAAAAGAACTATCAGGTGTTGGCCAGGCACCAGTGTTTCACACCCGAAATCCTAGCTACTCAGGAGGCAGAGATCAGGAGGATCTCAGTTTGAGGCCAGTCCAGGCACATAATTTGTGAGACCCTATCTCGCAAAAACCTAACACAAAAAGGGCTGGTGGAGTGGCTCAAGTGGTAGAGTGCCTGCCTAGCAAGCATGAGGCCCTGAGTTCAAACCCCAGTAGTGCCCAAAAAAATCCCAAAACACCACGTGGGAGAAAATATTTGCAAACCATGTATCTGATAAAGGGTTAATATCCAAAATATATAAGGAACACAACTCTGAAGAAAGAAAACAAATGAATAATAATACGTTAATAAATAATAAATTTTCAAATGAGTAGACATTTCTCAAAAGAAGACCAGTAGGTACATCAGAGAAATGGGAATAAATCCACGACTATCACCTCATTGTTAGAACGGACGTTGTCAAAAAGATCAAAGTGTTAGTGAGGATGTGTAGGAAAGGGGACCCTTGTACACACTTGGTTGGAATACAAATTAATATAGTTATTATGGAAAACAGTACAGAGGTTCCTCAAGAAAATTAAAAATAGAGGCTGGGCACCTGCCTAGCAAGTCCAAGGCCCTGAGTTCAAATCCCAGTACCACGAAAAAGGGGGAAAAAAGTTCAAAAGATACAGAATTCAGTAAATGGTAGCATTGGGAAGGGAAAAAGAAGAGGAGAGTCATTAAAGGCACACAAAGACAGATACACAATTTGTCTACAAAATTTTGGTTCTTAACATAGGGTGAAAGGATGGAAGTGATTCTTCTGTCCAGTTTGCTGTGCCTGAAATATTCCATAATTTTAGTCTTTCCAGAAATAGATCATTCAAGAGAGTTGAAAGGACAAAATATTGTGAGTGTATGATAGCTATTTTCAAATGTTTGTTTAAGAAAACAAGGTGTCTGCTCTGCTACATACATGGACAAGCGTTAGTCATAGAGTCACATATTATTGCTGCAGGAGTGCGGTGTAGCTCAGTGGTAGAGCACTAGCCTACCACACGCAAGGGCCTGGTTCAATCCCCAGCACTGCAAAACAAAAACAAAACCCTACGGGTGCATATTACCGTTGCTGCTTCAGAGGGAGGAGTGAAGAAACATGAGAAAAACTACCAGGAGGACAGCAGATGTGGGCTCCGCGTGCAGGACCGACGTCACACCATGACGTAGTACTGAGTTGGAGCCCGCCTGTGGGATCTGAGATCCGTACTCTGTATGTGGTATGACTTGGGGCAAATCATTTCATTTGTGCATGCCTGTCCCCCATTCTGTCAAATGCGGATTTAAAAGAAGGGCCTTTCCTCCCAGTGTCTACTACAGGGTGAATGATTACCTATGAAGTGTGTAGAACAGTTGGTTCCACACAGCAAGCACCGACTTGCTGTATCTGTGAGTGAAATGAAACAAGAATCTGCAAATGCCTCCCTGGAAGGCAGGATGCTCTTCAAGGACTCAGGGGGAGCTGATGAAGTAGCTCAAGAGGGAGAGCATCTGCCTGGTAAGTGCACAGCCCCGAGTTCAAATCCCAGTACAGAAAAAAAATAAGTGTTCAGGGAAAGGCTGCATAAGTCTTTTTTAAGAGCATGCAGGGAATCCTTCTCTCCTGGTCTCAATGAGACTTCAGTGACTATCACACGGGTCACCTGGGGACCTGGCTGAAATGCATGTGGCAGCAGCAGGTCTGTGTAGGGCCCGAGAGCCTAGATTTCCAACAGGAAGCATGGCTGCTCTGGCCTTCCTGTGCTCCACGCCCACAGTCCCAGAGCTCCAGGTGGTTCTTCTTGCCATGCACCCTAGTTTCAAAGCTGTTTAGTTCTTTCTTTTTTCCTTCTTCTTTTTTGTGGGACTGGGGTTTGAACTCAGTACTTTACACTTGCAAACCAAGCACTCTCCTGCTTGAGCCACACCTCCAGTCCATTTTTCTCTGGTTGTTTTGGAGATGGGGTCTCAAGAACTGTTTGCTAAGAAATGACCCAAACATTGTATGCATATATGAATAAAATACAAATTAAAAAAAAAAGAAGAACAACTATTTGCTGGCCTCGAACAGCGATCTTCCTGATCTCAGCCTCCCAAGTAGCTAAGATCACTGTTGTGAGGCATGGGTGTCCAGCAGGTGTTTAATTCTAATCACAGATTCTAAACATTTATCTTTTTTGTGGTACTAGGGCGTGAACTCAGGGTCTTGTACTTGCTAGGCAAATGCTCTGCCACTTTAGCCACATCCCAGCCCTTTTTTGCTTTTGTTATTTTTCAGGTTAGGATATTGTGTTTTGGGAGCTTCAGATTACAATCCTCTTACCTGTGGTCTCTTAGGTAGCTGAGAGCACAGCCATGGGTCACTACACCCAGCTTGTACATCTCTTTCCAAATCAACTGTTAGGTGACAGTAATTTAAATACTAAAAGGACTAAGAGTTTATCAGAGGCTTGGGGTAACTCCTCTTATACAAATATGCAGCTTTTCATTAATGCACATAATTACATTTTAAATATAAATTCTTTTTTTTGTCATTTGAGTTTTCTTAAAGCAGAAACACCTATTCGTGAGCAGTTAAAATAGTAAAATCTGGTGAAGGTAGTTCTTGCATTATTAAAATTCACATTAAATCTACATTTGGGATTGATGGAGAGGAAGACGCCATTGCAGATCCCCAAATAGGAGCAAGAAGGAAAACCTGCCGCATTGCAGGGCATGATAAATTGGAATGAAAAACGTTATGGCTTGAAGTGAAAAAAATGAAGGTGACTTGTGATGGTGAGGTAGCTAGTGCTTTTGGATTTTGGCCTCAGAGTGGTTCGTGCTCATGCATCACAGAGCTACTGACTGACATCTACCTCTGGGAGCACAATTTGCAGTGTCCCTAGATGTGAAGTAACTACCCAGTTACTCCACAGTGGAGGGAAGGTGAGGATGCAGTGAACAGAACACTTTATTCTTTTACTGCTTTACTGTTCTGAGTCAAAACAGGACATTTCCAGGTTGTACATTTGGTTTTTAAGGGGGAGGGGGTTAAGTGGCAGAGTACCTGCTGAGCAAGCACGAGGCCTTGAGTTCAAATCCCAGTAGCACCCAAAAAAAAGGAAGGTATAGAAGGAGGAGAAGTCAGGGAGAGACAAAAGGAGTAGGAAATTCAGAAGGTAATTCCAGAGCTTTCTTTAAAATTGCATTACTCTTGGTAGTCTGGCCATTTTACTCACCACCACTGCACAGAGGTTGTATTTAGGGTGTTTCCGGAAAATTGGACAGATGTAAGGAGTGAGGTCCAGGTTAGTGAGTGGGTAATGGATATCTGTTCTCAGCTTCCTTTTCGTTGTACCCTGAATGTCGAACCTGAAGAAAAAATAAATGTATGATGTTTGAAGTAAGCTTTGCTGAATGAAGTCCACATTACCTTGACAAATTCCAAGTATGGCTAGAAGTAGTTTCTTGGAAAAATGACCTGGTACAGGCCTGTGCATAAATGACTTCTTATCGAAGTATATTTATTTATTTAGCATTTATTTTTTGGTAGGACTGGGGTTTGAACTCATGACTATGAGGTTGAAAAGCAGGCGAGCTACTGCTTGAGCCACACTTCCAGTCCATTTTGCTCTGCTTATTTTCAAGGTGGGGTCTCTTGAACTATTTGCCTGGGCTGGCCTCAAACAGTGACCTTCCTGATCTCAGCTTTGCAAGTAGCTAAGATTACAGGCACAAGCCACTGACACCCGGCTTTAGTAATGCCACCCCCATAAGCCTCAGCTAAGCTGAGACTGGTACGGTCAGGGGCACGAGTCAAAGGGGGAGACACTGAGTCCAATGGGGACAAAAAAAGGGGCAAGAGCAGGCTGGTGGGGGTGGTGAATAGAAATCCCACTGAACGCCCCAGACTGCGCTCCACTGAGACCAATCATCCGACCAAGTGGGCTCAGCTGCTGCCCATCTTGGCAGTGCCCTGGCTTCAAGCTCTGAGGTCTTACAGTTCTGCTCAGAAAAGTTTGTCGAGTGAACCAGTGTGGGTTGTAATAAACATATGCATGGAAACAACACAAGGAATCTCCCTGCATAGCTATCCTCATTGCAAATTAGCAAAACACTGTGTTTTTCTTTTTATCTTACATGTTTTTTCTTCAACAAAATCAGAGAACAAGAGGGTGCAACAGTTCTCCCTGGAGGAGGCAGGGGTGGGGGTGGGGGGCGGCGGGGGTGGGGGGGAGGGGAATGCAGCCCAATAATGTATACACATTAAGTAATGTAAAAATGATAAAATAAAATTACTATTAAAAAAGTCTGTCAAAATCTTTCACATTCTGAACTGTTATCTCATCAGAAGTTCCCAAATCTGGGTTCATATCAGAATCACTTTTTAAAAACAATAATCATGTTTATTTCAGGAAGAAATAGCCAGTTTAGGTCTGAGGCAGGGAAATGACTAGATGAACTCACTCATTCTTGTGCTCCAAAGCAAGAAACAGTCACAAAAATGAAAGGCATCCCATACGTGGGTGTCCGCCCAAGAGAACTGAAGATTTATGGCCACAAAACCCTGTATGCTGCAGTGTATACCAGCCTTACTCACAACTGCCAAAAACTGCGAACAACTTAACTGTCCTGCTTAACTTATCACCTGCTTAATGGAAAAAGGCAAATAATCCACTGCCATAAAAATGAAGGGTCTGCAAATACTTGCAACAACACGGGCTCATCTCAAAAGCACAGTGCTGAGTGAAAGGAGCCAAACTCAAAAGGCTCGTGAGGTATGGCTCAGAACATTCTAGAAAAGGCAAAACTATAGAGATGGAAATCAATCATTTCCTGGGTGTGGGGTAGAGGAAGGAGGTGATGATAAAGGATCATAAGACAGTTTTGGGGTGATGGAATAGTCTATACGTTTGTTGTAATGGGTACATGACACTATGCATCCGTCAAAGATCCTAGATGTGTGCACCTAAAAGAACACATTTTATGTATGTATGTATATTTTAATAAGTTCAAACAGACTAATGGGTCATAGGAGCTGGCTTAAGGGGCTCCCATTGGCCAATTCTGAACAACTGGAATACCAAAAGCAACAACGAGAGGTTTCTGGTTTATAATTCCACATGCAAAGAACTCTGAATAAGCTGAAAACTCAATTCTTCTTAACTTCTGTAGGAGTGAGGTCACAGGACAGTTGCTGTCGCTAGAGTAGAGACACACCGGCAAATACAGAGACTCACAATTTACCACAGCAGAAATGCTGGGTAGAATCCTCAGGGAGCCAGGCTGGAGGTTCAGTGTAGACACGTCTGAGCACTAAAATCTCCAAGGGACACAGTCGCAGGGGGGGCCCTGTCACAGGGGGGGACCCCTACTTTTGTAGTTTTGCCCTCCAGAAGCCTAAGCTGGTTCTCACTGTAAATACCAAAGAAAATCTCCTCATCCTTCCAGCAGTGAGAGGGGGAAGGAACCATTTTTAAATGTGCCAGTAGCACTTACCTTAATGAGGGTGGCTCCTGGAGAAACCAGTTAACCAGAGACTACCCTGTTAGGGTTTTATCAGAGCCTGGCTGACCTGGGGAGAGAAATACCCAGTTCCTGAGCACTGGAGTCATACTGCCCCCTACTGGGGAGAAAAAGCTGAGAGGCACTTGTGAAGTTCACAGCCCAGAGGCACAGACATACTAAGTGAAAATGACCTAGTCACAGGCCTACAGAGGTGAAACCACTTCATCCTCTTTCCCCAGAGCACTACGTCACTCAAGATTTATTTCCAGAAGTGTCTTCTGCATGGTACATTATGACTGACTACCAAGAAAAAAATAACAAGGCATACTAAAAGGCAAAACCCAGGGGGCTGGGAGTACAGCTCAGTGGTAGAGCACTTGCCTACCATGCACAAGACCCTGAATTTGATCCCCAGAAACACAAAAACAAAAAGGCAAATAACACAGTTTGAAGAGCATCCAAATCGACAAAGTGGGAATTTTCAGACTGGGAATTTAAAACCACTTTATAGCCTGAGGACTCCAACAAAGTAGACAGAACTGGTACCTGCCCAGAGCCTCATCATCCCCCATCTTGTGCCAGCCTCACATTTATGTGACACACACACCAACATGCCTTTGCATGTGTGATCCCCTCTCCCTCTTCTCTGCCAGAAACTCATTCTTGAACGTTCATTCTTCCATGCTCCTTTTTCTGCAAAGTTTTCATTCCAACTTACTCTGAAGAGTTCACTAGATATTTAGTCATCTATTTTTGTTTCTCTGAAGAAACTTCACTGAAATACATTCTAAGAATCATTGCATTGTCCCCAGATTGACAGGAAATATGTCTTGTAAAACCATGTCTCCTCCTTTTCAATCTACCCACCACATGTGGTTCCAATAAACGCTCTTTTCCACAAGATAGACAAATGAACCATAAGCTTGTAAAAAGCTGCCAACACCATTAGTCATTAGGTAAGTGCAGATCAAAACCTCAATGACAGACCCCTGACCTCTCTTTAGGATGGCTGTTACATAAAAACAACAACAAAATGGAAAATAACAAGTGTTGGTGAGGAGACAGAGAAAAGAAAACCCTGATAGTTTGCCCACAGGAATATAAAATGGTGCAGTTACTTTGGTGAACCATGGCAGTTACCCTGTGACCGGGGATACACCTAGAGGACTGAAAGCAGGACTGTGCCACTTTTAAGCCAGTGTTCACCATAGCAATTCACAGCAGCTAAGCTATGGAAAGAGCCCCATAACCCCGCATCAGACAGCAAAACTGTGTACAATGAAATATGGCTGAACTGAATGATTCCCCCTATGTGAAGTCCTAGAACAGACAAATTCAGAAAACAGCAGACTGGGGGGACCTGGGACTAGGGAATGAGAAATGTGAGTTACCGCTTAACGGTTAGAGTTTCTGTTTGGAGTGATAAAAAGTTTGGAAACGTGTGGTGGTTTTGGATAACATTGTGAACATAATACCAATGAATTATACACTTAGGATTGCCCACAATGACTTGGGTGTAGTGGCGTGCACCTGCCATCCCAAGCTACCCTGCAGGCTGAGATTGGGATGATGGCGGTTCCAGGCCACTCCCAGTAAAAAGTTTGTGAGACTCCATCACAATGGATAAAAGCTGGACATGGTGCTGCCATTTGCTTGTCATCCTAGCGATGTCAGGAAGCCTAAAATAGGATTGTGGTCCAGGATGGCCTGGGCAAAAAGCAAGACCCTGTTTCCCAAATAACCAGAGCAAAAAGGGTGTGAGCAGTAGAGTGCCTACCTAGTAAATACAAAGCCCTGAGTTCAAATCCCAGTACCACAAACAATTGCCCCCAATGGCAAATAGTATGAGATATATAGAGAGATATTTTTGATTACAATTTTTAAAATTAATAACATACCAAATACCATTGAGCCAGGCCAAGTAGCTCCAGCCTATAATCCTAGCTACTCAGGAGACGATCAGGAGGATTGTGGTTCAAGGCCAACCCAGCTAGGTGGGCTGCTTTAAGCCAGCCCAGGCATAAAGCACGAGCAAAAAGGACTGGCAGTGTGGCTCAAGTGGTAGAGCGCTTGCCTAACAAGCCCAAGGTCCTGAGTTCAACCCCAGAACCATCAAAGGAAACAACACAAATACCAGTGAATTGTTCACTTTGTTTATATGGTGCTGATGATCAGACCCAGGGTCCCTGGCATGGTTCACGCAAGTCCTGTGACTGAGCTGGGTCTACTCCACAGCCCCAGAATCACACACACTTTAAGTGGGTGACTTGGCCTATCAATTACATCTCAATAAAGCTGTTCAAAAATATCTACTCACAAAGTGCCAAAATTCATACCTTTTCAAGTGAAAAATAATTATTTTGGGTGCCTTGGAAATACTGGCCCTCACAGACGTTTCTTGCTTGGTTGCACAAAAAGAACAATGGATTTGGTTGTTCCAGGTCAATGTGTCTTGTTGAAAGAAACATTGGAGACAGTCCTGTTGAGGAAGAAAAAGCATTTGGTGACCAAACTAGATCAACTACAACCTAGGGTCCCTGTTTACATTAGAACTCTGATAGTACTGGGGTTTGAACTCAAGGCCTTGCACTTTCCAGGCAGGCGCTCTACTACTTGAGTCATGCTCCCAGCTGTTTTTGCTTTAATTATTTTTAGGACAGGTTCTCGATTTTTTTGCCCAGGCTCTCCTAAAACCACAATCTTCCCAATTTCCACCTGCCAAGTAGCTAGGATTACAGTCTTGAGCCACCATGTTGGCAATCACTTGCCTTTTGATCTGAGGACAAACCCCAGTTCTGAGTAAGTAATCAGATTCTGTTCTCCAACTCTAGTATGGGAGAACTTTTGGCAGGAGAAGTAATTTAGGAAGAAAATGTAAGTGCATGTAATTCTGTAAGGGAATGTGTTGATCCCTACCCTGTTTGCTCCTAACTCACTGCTTCCTACTGTCTACTAACACCCACTCCACCCCATGTCCCCACTTACAGATGAACTCTTAGCATCATGGTAAGAAATTAGAGAAGTAAATAAACTGAGGCATTAGATTCTCTCTCTCTACCCAACACACTCTACAGCTTTAGTCCACAATCTAGGCGTCCAAGGGTAAAAGTCAGAATTGGGTTTTTTTTTTTTTTCTGGCAATACTGGGGTTTGAACTCAGGATAGGCATTTTACCACTTGAGCCACCCTGTCAAGCCACCCCTTTCTTGCATTGGGTATTTTCTCTTTTTGGTGGTACTAGAGTTTGCACTTAGGGCCTACACCTTGAGCCACTTCACTACACTAACCCTTTTTTTTGTGATGGGTTTTTTCGAGATAAGTTCTTGAGAACTTTTTGCCCGAGCTGACTTTGAACCACGATCCTCCTGACCTCTGCCTCCTGAGTAGCTAGGATTCCAGGCGTGAGCCACAGGTAATGAGATAGGGTCTGAGGAACTATTTGTCTGGGCTGGCTTTGAACCTCAGTTCTCCTGATCTCTGTCCTCTGGTGTAGCTAGGATTATACGTACAAGCCAAGGGCACCCAGCCAGAATCTTTTATATCTAGTTTCCAATCTGAAGCTACAGACCACTGGGATGAGAGGTCATAAAGTGTTTGTAAGAAGTGACAACTTATCTGTATGCACCATACTGTCTCAAGAGACTGGATGAACACCCATCCATACTTGCAATTTTATAGTGAGGCCTGGGTTTGTAATATGTTTAGAAATCCAACTAAATTTCCAGTAACTTTTGATCAATATGTTGTTTTTTCAAAAAAATGCTGTCATCATGGGCTTTCTTCCTTTATTTATTTTTAAGTAAAAAAGCAGCCCTCTCCTAAAAATATAAGAAACAGCCTTGAAAAAAATCCAGGACTGAGAGTAAAGCAAGACAAAAGTATCCAGGAGTAGGCCCTGTGGGGTAGTTCATACCTACAGTTCCAGCTACTCAGGAGGGTGAGACAGGAAGATCTCATGAGCTAAGGTGTCTCAGACCAGCCTGGGCAGTACAGTGAGGCCCTGACTCAAAAGGAAAGTCCAGCAGTAAGGAATGCCTACCTGAAGGGAGCATTCATATTTAGATGGAATGGAGAGGGAGAGGACAGTGAAAACTTCGTTCTTATAGGTGCAGTTCTCACACTTCAAGCACATGATGCCATAGTTGAGCTGCCCTTCGAACAGCCGGGTGATGATGGACGTCTCATTGGCAATAGTCTTCCTGCAGCATCTTTGGGTCGATCTTTTCTCATACGACCTTCGAAGGTACTGAGTCGAAGAACAAATTCCCCCAAATCAACTAATGCTTATCAGGAAACATTTTGATTAGAATGACATCTTTTTTCTATCAGAATGATACATTTCTACCCAAAACCACTTAGTTTTGCATTCAAACAATAGACTAAGATCTTCTTGAGTGTGTATATCATGCATGATTTCTGATAATCCAGTTATTTCCACCTTCAGGTAGAACTGAGGAGTGATGACACCCTGGCTCTGGTGGAACACATAACCATGGACCATGGGCTGATAGACTATGACAATGTGATATAAGGCCTTGGAGCTTTTTTTTCTTTTCCAGTGCTTAAGGACTGGACCCAGGGCTGTGTACATGTAGGCAAGTTCTCTACCGCTGAGCTTCATCCTCAGCCCTTCTTTTTTTTGTTGTTTTGAGACAGGGTCTTACTGCTACCTTTGTCCAGGCTGGCCTTGAACTCAAGATCCTCCTGTATTTGCCTCCCAAGAAGCTGGGATTACAGATATGAATTGCCACACCCAGCTCTGGGAGCTACGCTTTTCCTGAAAAAAAGGGTAAGTCAGCTATCGGTCCGACATTAGGCCAGGAAAACTCATCTAGAGGTAAAATAAAGAGAGCCAATCTTTCCTCACCTCCTAAGCCCTTCTTTGATTTATAGAAAGTATTTTTTAAAAAGAGATAAACTTTTGAAAAGTTACAATGTTGTACCTGAAATGAATCTTGGTTTGGTTTGGTTTTAATAAGTAGGTGTCTGGCTCCCATGTCCTGTTGAATGTGGGCACTTGACCCTTGGTGTAGGGTGACTGGGTGTTGGACTAAGACTTTGTCTAAGGTGACAAGGGTCAGCTTGAGATGTGAAGGAGAGTGCTTTTGTTTTCCTGTTGTCATTAGCGGTTTTGATCTCTGGGTAGAGGCTCTTTATCTTTGTAAACATAAAAGATATTTTTGCTTTCTTGTTTTCTATTAATGGCAAAAGAATGGAAGTGAATACAGTTTGTTTTTTGAGACACTAAATAAAAAGAAAAGAAGGGCTATGGGCATGGTTCAAGTGGTAGAGCACCTGCCTAGCAAGCACAAAGCCCTGAGTTCAAGCCCCATACTGAAGGAGGAAGAGCAGGAGAAGAAAGAGCAAGTCTTAAATTCCTAAGGCAGCCTGACGTAGGGGTCTTGCTACATGGTTTGAATTCTGCTCCTATTCAGAGCTTGCATTTCCAGAGCGCACCTGAGTTCTCAGTGAAGACACATTAGCTCTAAACAGCCGTGCTCTCCATTCCATAGTCATTTGCTTCTTGATCACACTCTGCCGTAAAGCCTTCCACCTGACGGTAGTTTAATGCCCCGAATTTCAGATTGACTGCAGATGAGGACCTGAGTGATTTTTACTGATCCCCGCCCTCTCCTCTGAGTAAGGAAAGTGCTGCCTGGAAGAGTTGGTTATTACTAAAAATGGAACTGAAGATGACACAGGGAGAACAGTTAATGGCTACTGTGTGTGACCTTTGTACTATCGACATCCTGGGTATTGTGTGTGGATGAGGTAACATTGGCATGAGGACATGGCATCAAGTCAAGGGCATGTCTTCAGAGAGTGTGGGGCAGCCAAAGGCCACCTCTACAGTGTAATCCTGTGTCCCCGAATCCAATTGGGCTCAGGGAGGCCATGTTTTGTAGGAAGATTAAACGTTACAGGGTACAGGTTTGTCTCTGAGCTTAATATTTTCATGGATTTGTAGACACCATGAAAATTCAAAATTGCAAAGTTATATACATTATTTTCCATGAGGAATGAGGGGGAGGGGGTATGACTTCCACTTTTAAAAGCTAGTCTATGCAGCTTTCATTTGCAAAGAGAGCTAGATTAGTGGTTCCACACCTGGCTGTCCACTGGAAATGCCAAGTGAGCTTTCTGGAAGTCAGTCCCAGACACTAACTGAACACGAGGACCTGTTGAAGCTAGCCTGTGGATGGGGTCTGGTAAACGCAGTTACACTTTCCCACAGGAATGTGAATGTTGTTCTCAGGACCCCAGCCCGGGAGCCCAGTGTTTGGCACAGGGCAGGCAACATGGACTAAACTCATGAAAGGAAACACGGGAGTCGCTGACAAGCGGAACGTACTCTATGTCAAGGGTCATGAATTCCCCTTACCTTTTTCAGAGCTTCATGAAGTTCACTGAGGACATAAATTAAGAATTCCTGGGCGTCTTGCTGTGTCTTTTTCATAAACATTGGGTAGAGGTTGCCAAGAGCTGACCGAAATATTTCTGGTGAGACACAGTCTGAGTCCCCAAGCCACATGTCTGTCATCAGGTAAGCAAAAGTCGTGGCCACCTCGCTGCAGTCCCTTGGAAGAAGGAAGGTGCACATTTGTGGCTGGGTTTGTGGAAAGAAGGGACCTGATGCCTCCGGCATGGAGAACCAGTCCAGACAGCGCTTCGCCCATTCCTTGCTTGGCCAGCCCACAGCACTCACCCCAGATGAGCTGGGCAGCTGTGGCCTCTATGGTCTCAGTCAGTCCCTCACAGGGGCTCCAGAGGGTTCCTTCCCTCCCTCACCTGGACCCTGGGGTGGGGGCTGAGCTCAGGGAAGCTTGGGGTCTTACTTTTGAAGGGCGGTGATGTACTTTCCAGTGAGGAAGTACTCCACCAGTGGGGAGATGCTGCAGAGACACTGCAGGATGGCGTTCATGTAGCACGTGTTGCCCAGGTTCCGCAGACCAGTCACACCCTGTGGGTGTGGCTGGCTCTTATTGGCCTCAGTAGCTGGAAGGGTGTCATAGTAATCTGTGCACTCTGCACTGTATTGGTGCCATGGGGACAGAGAGAAAGAAAGCATTTGGAGGGAACAAAATACATGCAAATGGCAGCAGGCTCCTCTCAGCCCCATGAAATAAAAAGAGATCTTTCTCTTCTTTCTTTTTGTCTTTTTTTTTTTTGTGGTTCTTTTGAGGCAAGGTCTCCCAGGGTCTCCTTGAACTAATTATAATCCTGCCTCAGCCTCCTGAGTGCTGGGATTACAGCCCCATACCACCAAGCCTGGCAAGAAGAGTTCTCACAGGTTTTCCCTCAAACATAATCCCTACCAAAGACAAAGGACTTGAGTTTGGAGACTAAAATTGCACTACTTAGATCCATAATTCTGAATAAATATCTGAAGCCAAATAAGACAGATAAAATTTCTTCCTAAAACTAAGAAGAACTGAATATTGGCCTTTCAGAGTCCTAGTCTTAGTTGGCCCCAAAATTCAAACTTTCTTACTAAAAACCAAAGTTTTCCCTTTTTTCTGGGCAATTAAATTACTATCGGTAGTAAGAATAGCACTAGATAATAGCTATCCTGTGTTTAGTCTGGCACTATGTTAAGTACTGAACATGCATTTTCCCATTAAATTTTTGCAAAAAATTATATGGGGTAGGAATAATTCCTTTAAAATTTCATCTTGCAGACGAGATGTCACATTTCAGTGGTTTACTTTTACCCATAGTAATATACCAAGGAGGAGGTGTGTGGTATGTAGAAAAAGAAAAGTCTATCTACTATCTACCTACCTATTACCTATCCATCAAGTTATTTGGATCAATATGTCGTATGTTAAGAATGTATATAATGTATATCCATGCGTAGATGACATATACAGAGCATATGTAAACATATACATACATGTAGAAAGACTGCAAATACATATGTTTTATACATATCTAAGATGCACATACATACATACATACATACATATGCACATAAAGGTATAGACCATTAAAATGAAGGTCTGAGTTTAAATGCTATGCCACTTACCAGCTGTACATATGATATGGGATTTTTATGCCTGCTTCTCATCTCTAAAATAAAAATAATGAGCTGGGTGCTGGTGGCTCATGGCTGTAATCCTAGCTACTCAGGAGGCAGAAATCAAGAGGATTATGGTTCAAAGCCAGCTGGGGCAAATATTTCTCGAAATCCTATCTTAAAAAACCCATCACAGAAAAGGGCTGGCAGAGTGGCTCAAATGGTAGAGTACCTTCCTAGCAAGTGTGAGGCCCTGAGTTCAAACCCCAGTACCACCAAAAACAAACAAATAAATAAATAAAAATAGAAATAATGAGCTAGGGGTAGAGATTAGTGGTAGAGTACATGCTTTGCATACATGAGTTCCTGGGTCCAATCCCACCCTCCATAGTGTCTCATAGAGAGTTATGCAGGTAACATGCAAGGTACTTGGCACTGATTCCATAGCCAACAAATGGTAGATTTAAATTTTTTTAAAGCACTTGATCTAGGATATCTAGTTGGAGTGTTTGTGTGACTGGGTCACTGCACAGAGAAGAACCAACCCGTAGGGCTCCCAAGGATCCTCCTATCCCACAAGGAGCAGTTCCTTACAATCTGTATGATTGCATCTTTGTCCTTCACAGTCTTTCTCTCATGTACTATATGTAAAGTTGACATGTGACAGCCACCTCATCTCAGTACCTCTACTCACAGTTACACCCATTGGCAAAGTGCTTGCTGTCACACGGGTGGTCATTTTCAGTCTTACCTATGTCATAGAGACCCTGGGCTGTCACTCTTTAGGAAGTACATGTATCTACTGCTTAGAGGTTAGGCAATATCTTCCCTTTGGGAACCTCTCATGGGTCAAATCTTGGGGATCCCTTCCAAATGTGACATGTCTGTATTTCTCCTGAGATCCCCAAGATACCCCCCACCTGAACTTATCTAGAAAGTGGTAATAGATAGAGGCTCACAGGACATAGTAGATACCAAAGTCGTCTGCAGGGAAAGTCCGATGAGAAGTCATTTTAACGGGACTACGTGTGACTTTCGCTTCTATTCAGGAGCTATGTCTAATTCTTTTAACTTCATTTCTCCAAGACTGTTATGCTGGCCCTTTTTGTTTGTTTTAAACAATTTGTATGCTCTTCCCCCTTTTCCGTAGCTGCAGACTGATTATCACTTGATTCGAGACACCATTCCAACTTGGATTTTCCCTGTGTCATAATCCTTTTCAAGATTCTAGTGCGTTGCCAGGAGATACTGTTACTTCCTTGTTTGAAACGCTTTTAAAAGATTTCAGAGAGGGAACTGCACATATAACCCGTCTTCCTCCATCACTCAGTTTCCCATGTGTATGTGTAATTACACACTCACACTCATGCACACACACATTGTGCCTGTGAGTTAGTATCACTCAGTATCACTCATTGTGCCTCTGAGTTAGTATCCTGGGACTGTATCACTCCCAGGAACCCTCAGGGAATGTTCTTCCCTTCTGGGGAGGGAGGCAGTTGGATTTTGATGCTTCCCAAACACATTGCACTGGGATAGCATGGAGTATTTCCCTCTTTGGTCTTCAATTAGCAAGCAGGGAGGGGACAGGGGACATGGACACACTACTAGTGCCATACAGGTCTATTATAGAAGGATTTACAAGGTGAGAAGTTGCTGATTACACGTGATCTTCTGAGCTCTCAAATTCATCACAGAGCCCTGTGCACAAGACAGCATTTGGGCTGGGACATCTGTCACCCCTCTGATCACAGGGTTGGTTTGGCTGATCTAGTTGGCTAGGCAGGTGTCTCCTTTCTCCCTCACTGTTCCATGTATGTCCCTCTCAAAGCTGTATGCTTGGTTGAAGAGAACAACCTTCCCTGATAGAGAACCATTCTTTGGTCAAGGGTATATAAGCAGCCTGTGCTCCCCAGCTAGAACCTCCAAACAAACCCTCAAGAAAGCACTTGGAAATCCCACCTCAGAAAGCTCTATGCAAGAATGAGGCCAGAGAGTATGTAAACCATACGCTTGTGAAAGCATGTGCTTGAGTTAGCATGGCTGGCCATGGTGGCTCACACCTGTAATCCCAGGTACTCAGGAGGTAGAGATCAGGTGGATCGTGGTTTCAGGCCAGCCCAAGCAAAAAGTTAGCAAGACCCCATCTCAATCAACAAAGATCAAGGTGTGGTGGTATGTGCCTGTCATCCCAGATACATTGGAGGCTACAGGTAGGAGGATCACAGTCTGAGGTTACCCTGGGAAAAAACACAAGACTCTATCTGAAAAAATAACTAAAGCAAAAAGGGCCGGGGCATGGCTTAAGTTATAGAGCACCTGCCTGGCCAATGTAAGGTCCGGAGATCAAACTGAGCCCTGGAGCTCCAAGCTGGTGCCAAATCTGTTCTTCCTCTGAGCTAATTCAGATCTGCTGAGCCAGCTAAGCATCTGAGGGGAGCAGGCAAAGAGCTCTAGGGCCCGTCCAATTTGCCTTGTTTCAATTCTGCACTTGAAAAAATGAAGGAGGCAATAAAAGACTGAAATGTTTCTAAAAAAATGTCAGGAAAGATACATATTTAAAAAAAAAAACCTACCAAAGAAGAAAAACAATTGAATGCAATGCTCAATCCTGAATTGGATCCTGGATCAGAAAAAAACTTTCCATCAAAAGACATTGCTGGAACAATGTATGGAATTTGACTCCATTAATATGGATGGCGGATGAGTAATTTTATCTCAAATTTGAATCTTGTGAATTTGATAAAACTGTGCTGAGCATCTTAGGAAACACTTCAGTTTTTAGGGGGTAAATGTACATGGTATATGCAACCTAGTGGTTCAGGAAGCAGAGGCACGGAAGGAAGGGAAGGGGAAGAGATAAAGCAAATGCCACCAGATGTCAGCAATTGATGAATCTGAATGGAGGTATGTTCTTGTACTGTTCTTGCAACTCTTATGTAAGCTTGAGAGTGTGTACAACTTTAAATATTAAGAGTGTAGTAGATATATTTGCTAGTATGGATTCTCTAGGATATATTATTGGTTAGCCCAAAACACCCCAGGTATGCACCTCCACTTAAGTCCAAATAGGAGAGAAGGATGGAAGGAAGGAGTGAGGGAGAGAAGGAGGGAAGAAGGACAGAAGGAAAGAAGGAGGGAGGAGGAAGGAAGGAAGAAAGGAAGGAAGGAAGGAAAGAAGGCAGGCAGGCAGACAGGCAGGCAATACATATACTCATTCATACAAAGCCAAAGAATAATTGTTCTTTGAGCTGGGCATGGTGGTTCATGTCTGCAATCCCAAGCAGAGGGCCTTATTTCAAACCCCAGTGCTGCTAATAAGAATTGGATAAAGGATCTTGGCATCAGCCATACCTTCTCTTGCAGCTATTTGATATTTCCATCGTAGATACAGCCTGTTTTGTACTGTTTCATAGAACACAGATGACAGCAGGAAGGAAGGGAGGGGAAGTGATGAAGTAAACGCCCTCTTGCAGCTATCTCCCATCCAAGCACTAACCAGGCCTGGCCTTGCTTAGCTTCTGAGACCAGAGTAGATTGGGTGAGCTCAGGGTAGGATGGCCATAGACTCTTGCAGCAATCTGATATTTATGGTGTATTTGCAGTGGTGTCTTTTGAAGTCACCTCTGTGGAGGTTCTGCTGGACTTGAATCCTCTAACTGCTGCTCTGCAGTGAAGCTGTCCTGTCCTTTGGTTTCTCCTAATCAAGATTCCACCACTCCCCTTTCTCTTCTTTCTTTCTGCAGTGCGGGGATGGAACCCAGGGCCTGGCACATGCTAGGCAAGGACCTACCACTGAGCTACACTACACCCCCAGTCCCACACATGGGATTTCATGCTGCATTTAGTTTTCATGTCTCTTTAAGCTCTGACCTGAACAGTTCTATGTGTTTCTTTGATTTTCATGAAAATGACACTTTTCTTGAAGAGTACTGGCTAATCATTTGGAAAAATACCCCTCAGTTTGATTTTGCCTGATGTTTCCTCAGGATTAGACTCACATTGTACATTGTAGTAAGAATATCATAGAAGTAGCCAGGCACCAGATGGCTCACAACTGTAATCCTAGCTACTTGGGAGACTGACATCAGGAAGATCAAGGTTTGTGGCCAGCCTAGGCAACTAGTTCCAGAGATCTTATCTCCAAAATAACCAGAGCAAAATGGACTGGAGGCGGGGCTCAAATGGCAGAGCACCTGCTTTGCAAGTGTGAAGTCTTGAGTTCAAATTCTAGTCCCAACAAAAAAGAAATCACAGAAGTGATACTGTGTTCTTCACTACTGCATTGTATCGGGTGGGACATAATTTTAATTTTTTCTAACACTGGTGATTTTAACTAGGATAATGGATAAAGTGGAGTTGCCAGGTCTCTTCACTGTAGTCTTCCTTTTTGCAATCGATAAGTATTTTGCAGGGAGGACTTTGAGACTACATAAATGGTCTGTTCCCATTAAACGTTCACATACTTCTTTCAACATTAAATGTTGTTTCTTGGCTGGATTTTTCTAATATCGTTACTCTGACTGTGCTCATCAGAAGTTTTCTCCTTTCCTTATTTATTATTTTAATCAGTAGGAACTCATGAAATCTCTTCCGGCTCAGTTATTAAGTCAGTTTTTTTTTTTTTGGTAGAATTGGGGTTTGAACTTGGCTTCATGCTTGCTAGGCAGGTACTCTATCACAGGAACCATGTCTCCAGCCCTATTATTAATTTTTGAATTCAAGTTGTCCCAAGATTAGCCTGCAGGAGACCCTTCAGGCTGCCTGTGTTCACTGGACGGGTCCCCATCATTCTGACCACTCCCTACCTTTTGGCACAGCAAGGTGTTCCACACACAGCTTATAACACCCTTGCTCCAGTTCTGAAGCCAGCCAGTTCTCCAGCAGCCCTGGCTCCCCTTAATGAACACTATTTAGAAACCAAGATCTGTTTGCTGGGTGTCTTTGTGTCATTACTGGCTCCCAGGCTGTCTCCGTAAAAAGAGCATCCACACCCACGTGTACCTCTGCATTTTGAGAATCATGATTCCACAGTAAGAATCCCAATTCTAAGCCTTTCAGAATTGACTCCAGTTTTTCCCTTTCCATGTTTACAACCTCATCTCGAACAGTGAGACACCTGAACTGCATTATCCTCAATATACTTCCTTATTTGGTCCATGTCATGCATGTCACTGATCTGCTATCTCTGGCCACCACCTACACACAAACACACAGAAACTCTCTTGAACTTTCTTATCCGCTTTGCCCAGACACCCCATGCCAGATCACTGCTGCCTCCCAACACGGCCTCACCTCATGGGTTTTAGACTAAATTGCTAATTTTTTTGAGGTGGGGAATTGCTTGAGTTTGAACTAGGGCTTCATGCTTGCTAGGCAGGTACTCTACTCTACCTCCTGAGTCACCGTCTTTATATTCTTCTGTTTACATTTAAGTATTTCAACAAATCTAAAAAGCAACCCATGTTATCTATTTGAGTCTGAGGTTTGAAGGGATACTGTTTTTCCCAATCTATTTGTTTTTTAAGCTCTGTGCTTTTCCCTGAATCCAAAAAAATTTTACTCTGCCTTACTTTTTTTGCAAACAGTTGCACACCTGTGTATTTTCTATCTCATATTCCTTTTTTTCTTTTTGCTTGACTATATCCTTAATGTTTTCCAACAAAAAGCATGGGGCAAGCTTGAGGTTTTGAGTTTAATCCTCAGTACAGAAAAAAAAAAAAAAAAGAGGCGGGGCATTGGTGGCTTGTGCCTGTTATCCTAGCTACTCAGGAGCAGAGATTGGGAGGATCATGGTTTGAGGCTAGCCCAGGCAAAAAGTTCCTTAGACCCTATCTCAACCAGTAAGAAGTTAGGTGTGGTGGTGCACACCTGTTATTCCAGCTATGGAGGAAGTGCAGATAGGAAGATTGCAGTCCAGGCCCAACCAGACAAAAATGCAAGAAGCTAGCAGATAAATACCTAAAGCAAAAGAGGCTAGCTGGGAGTGTGGCTCAAGTGGTAGAGTGCCTG